ATTTTCAGAGAAATGTTTAGATTAAAAGATATCACGATTTTCCGACGCCAGGACGTGATATCTTTCAAAATCGATAAAAAGCGAAATTACTCTGAAATGGTTGAGAATCGGACCATGGACAATATGAACTTTTTTGTTCATTTTAGGGTGAAGAATCTACTGGAGAAGTTTGTAGCACGAGTAGCAATTCACCCTGTATAGTCTTTATGTACGTTATATTATTTATTTAAGCGGGCAGAGGTCCAAAATGCAACATACGATATAGTTTGCAAGAAAAAAAATACAAATTTATCCTTATGAAAAAAACAAAAACAAAATAAAAACTAGAATTTAAATTTGCATTAAACTTCCTGATTTTTAATTTTGTCTTGTTTTAATTACCTTGCTCACTGTTACTTGTTACCTACTTTAAGGTTGTTGTAATGTACTACAAATTATATATAAAAAAAAAGCATTAAATTTTACATTAAAGAAGGAAAATTAACATCATAGACGAACCGGCATGCACATGTGGTGCATCTTCGCAAGATTGGAAGCATCTAAATTATGATTGCTCGAGGTTCGCATATGCGCGCATGATAATCGTGCTGATACACCTATTGATGACATCAAGATTCTGCAAGGATTTTGAAAAATTTATTGATAGCATGGACATTAATTTATTAAATGCATAAACCAGACTGTCTGCAAATGTGGTATATATATATATNATATATAAAATGTAAAATTAATTATGTGAGATACCAACAGTATATTTCATCTAGATCTCAAGATAAAAGGCTAGTCAATTATAAAACATGTGGTTAGGGCAACGGTATATTGAAGTTCGTGGGTTCGAATCTCGCTCGTGACACATCATTTTCTTCTCAACCAAGAATAATTAATTGAAAAAAGTAATTTTAATTGACCAAATTACATAAATGGTTAGTAATTTTAATGTTGGATGTTGGTGTGCGAGTCGAGGTACCCATGATAACACGCGAGTGTAGAAGGACCTAATGATGTAACAGTTCAACATATAGTCATTTTTCCAATTAAAAATGAACTCGTTACATTTATGCTGGCACATGATGAAAAAAAAAGACTATTCTTTAAGGTCTTTCTTGCATTGAGTGATTTTTAAAAGGGATTGCGCAATTTTACCTTCAGGGCGAACAAAATTTCGCAGATGCAATAAAATTAATAAAGACTGAAGGGCAGAAAGGAGGGTTGAACTAGAGATGTAGAAGGGGGGCTTCCCCCAGGAGCGACCACCTGCCGATCCGCTGGCCGGTTTACGACGATTCGGTTAGTCTGAAGGATGTTTTCGTACGTGACGGTCTGGCTCGTTTTGACCGGCTTCTGCCGCGCTGCAGTCATGCTCGACGAGGATTTTGTCATCTCCAGCAACCCGCTGGAGCTGGAGGTCGAGGTGACCGTGGCCGCGAGGACGACTGGCTACTTCGCCCTGGGGTTCTCCCTCGACGGCAAAATAGCCGGAGCGGACATCGTCGTCGGCTGGGTCGACGACAAAACCGGCAAAGGTTCAATTATTGTAAGTGAAATAGAAACATCATTTCAAATAATTATAAGACTTCGATGTTTTTTATCGTGTAATGTTTAAAAACGCCCAAACAAAAAACCTATATAATTTAATATTTATTATAATGCACATTAAGTTTCGTCCCTGACTTTTGATTAGATTTTCTATATGTTTTAACGTTATTTGCTTATTATTTGCACTGTACCCAATTCTAGCCTTTTTTTCTTCGATTATTTTTTAAAATTGAGCCCTCAAAGACGATCTTCACCATTGTTATATTTATTTATTTTCAATAATTTGTACATTTAAAAAAAACTATCGTTATTTTTATCTAAGAGTAGAGGCAAGAGTATCAATTTATTTTATACTATTTCGGAAATGAATTTATTTTAGCGTTGCTAGACGTGCATTAGACGGAAGGAGCTAGATCCTGTTGTTGTGCGTTGTTGTTTGTACTGTCATAATATCTTGAAATATCTTGAAGTTTTTTATTGAGATAGGACTTTCAACATTTGTGGCAGACCATTATTTAACATTTAAAACATGACATTTAACATGTAAAATTAATTTTATACCACCAAATAATGTAATGTAAATGTCGGTCTGAAAGTTCGTTTATTTATCGTTTTTGGTCATGCAGGTCCGCCTATCCTAGCTTATGCTCTAGATAGATGTTTTTCTTCTTCTGTTATTATAAAGATTTAATTTTTAAAATTTATTTTTCTTGAAGTTTTATCACTTACTCATGTTTTGTTAATTGAAAATGAAAAAAGTTAAGTGGAATTATTTTTGAGTGACTGACTGACACTACTGAAAAGTTCTTAGGTAAAAGCTTATTGGTTTTACATTTACACACTCTTTAGGCAATTTATCTGGATGATTTTTTAGAAAAATATAACAGGTATGCCAAGGTTAATGTGATCTGTGAAGATCTTTTAGTCCCACATGTTTTTTTGTTTTTAATTTCCATTCAGATGAGACGATTTCTAGGGAAAATCCGAGTGATTTTCCGAGATCTGCCATTTCTCCGGCTAGATTAAATTAAAACTCCCACGGACGTTCAGTACGATCGTGGGAAAGGATGTGACTCTTGTTTGTTTCGGCTCCGCCGGTCCATGGGTGCTCGGCGGTTGGGAGATGCTGTTTGAATTTACATTTCCCAACCAGTTGAAAAAGCGCCGTTCCAACAGCCGTCATATTTTAACGTTCGAGCCGGGTTGAAAGTCCATTTCGCCCTCTCAGCTGGAGCCAAATGACTTTTGCCCCAGACTGCATTCCTCCAGTAACTAAGCCATCTCAATCACCGTGGACTACGATTTAATACCCATACATCTACTGCCATACACATGCAGAATCATTAAAATATCATTATTCGTCATGCATATATTGACTTGTAAGAGTTCTTGAAATCTGGGGGTGATGAACATGTATTTTGGTGGTTTCCATTTATTCCGGTCTGCACACCCTCCACATTTTGGCCTGGCAGACGCCCTTTGTTTATCTCAGATTTGTGATATTATTTTTATCCTTGATACCTAGGTGTTTTTGAAAAAATATTGGAATTACTAAATCGATTAGAGTTCGTGGTCCGATTGACCAAATAACTTCTTTCAATTTGTTCGTTAAAGTTGAGATAAAAAAGTCAGTGACACGAATCGGACCACGAAATCTAATGGATTTAATAAGTAAAATGAAGTATATCTTCACTAAGGCTCTCCCTGGCCATTTCATTTGTCGCCGAGAATCAAATAGATTAAGCGACATTTGAAAAATGGCAAAAAGGAGGTAAAATTCAAAAGGTGCGGTTTAGATGGGAAGTTAGTGTCCGAGTGGTTCGAGGTCACGATAGCTCAAGTGCTAGAGCAGCGGCGTATCTAGCCGAAGATCTTGGGTTCGAATCCCGCTTGTGACATTGACTTTTTTATTTCAACCAATACCTTACATAAAGATTAATTAATATTGGAATTACGTTGGATATGAATTCAGAGTAGTTGAGATTCGAACCCGGGACCAGTAACGATTGAGTCCATGTATTTAGTATATTTAAAATTCATAGGTTTCCTTTATTGTTTAAGAGCTAGATGCTGAAAAATAATTATTCAGGTGTGCATATCGTTAATCTGTAGCTTTATCGATTCCGATTATACTCCAGTGGTCGGAGTGTTATTTTGTGTGCATCCTCTTTGTTACATCAGTGATGACTGTGCGCCGACCGCGTCTGTGCTACAAGAGTGCCGCGAAAATTTTCTATAAAAAATATTATAATTTTTTTATTTATAAAAGAAACCCTAAAAACTAAGACCCTGGTGGCAATCTAGTCTCAATATCGATGTTAACGAGAAAGCTGCAATTGTCCCCCCCCCCCAAAAAAAAATTTCTTTTACAGCTTTACTATCAAGTGTGTAATCGTTCAAAAATGCAAGTTTTTCAATTTGACAAGAAAGCCAGGAGTTTTGATTATTTATTAACTTATGATTTTTCCTTCTTGAAGGTGTAATAATAAGTCATCTAAAAAAAACCACAACCAGTTTTTATCCACACGTTTCGGATTTATTTTAATCCTTCCTCAGGTGAGTTAACGCAATTTTAATGACTGATGACCACTGTTTTAACCATTGCGTTAACTCACCTGAGGAAGGATCAAAATAAATCCGAAACGTTGTGGATAAAAACTGGTTGTGGTTTTTTTGAGATGACCTATTATCCCACCTTCAAGAAGGAAAAATCATAAGTTAAACTGTTGAGGTCAAAATATAAGAAAACATCGTTACCCTAATTATTTATTAAATAAAATTTCGGGCAAAATAAGAGATTGAGATATATCAAGCTTTTCTGAATTTGAAATGAATTATTACTATTATCATAAAGTTCATCTGAGATGGACTGTTGTTTTAACTTAGGGCGCTGCGGAAAAATTTTGATATATCGAGGACGCCAGAAGAAAAAGTTCGGAAACCGCTTTGTTACATAGTTATGAGAACAACCCCATCTTGCGAGAATATATATTCTCCTAAGCAGACCAAAAGAAGGTTAATTTAGATAAAAATTTTCATTCTCACATGATATTTTAAAAATAATTTGTTAAAAGTTCAAGAACGGAAAAAGACAGTCCTTTTTATGGGATAACATCCCTTGATTCTAAAAAAGTACCAACCATCCTTCACGTCCTTTTAACTTCTATATATATCTATGAGAATCGTAGAATTCGCGAAGTAAACGGACCAGCTACTCCAGAGGCAATAGTTGATAACCGCTTCTTGACCTGTCCATCCTCAGAGTAGTGAACAGCGGATTAATAAAGAAGGAGTAAATAAGAACTTTTTCAAACGCGAAAAGTCCAGTCTTTTCGCTGTAGTTGTAATATGGAACTCACGAGAATTAAGCCCCGGGGCCAAGATCTGATCTGACGTGACTTTACTCTCAATTCCATCCTGCTGTCTGCAACTACGTTTCTAGTTCCATGGAAATTCCAAAATCCTTGAATCTCTAAATTACCGAATCAGTGCTTAATTTCCAAGGGACGAATTACCAAATCTACGAGCTTTGAAGATATCTTTCGTAACAGAGAATTTTCTCGTTGACATTTTTTATTTGTATATATATATGTATACTTATTCTATGTATATATACTTATTCTAATTTCCTGAAAATAACTTATTTTATAACACATATTAAACTGATCAATCTGCTGAGAAAGAGCAAATACGTCTTTTTTATATTTTATTCCATTAAGTCTTGTAGGATTTTTGAAATATGTTCTGAAGTTATTTTATTACTAATATGTGGTATATTGATGCGTTAAAAGCCAAACAAATATAAACAAAAAAGGAAAACATGTTTTTGATACTGCAGATTTGAGATAACATTCGCGTACTGATTTGTGACCAGAATGATGATAAAAATAAAAATAAAGCCTATTTAAAATTATGTATTAAAAGTGTATTTAACACTCCACTGTTGACAATGGCTTTCGGCCGTCTATCGACTAGTTAAAAATTAAACTAAAACATTGCATAATCATAATTCCCATATAATAAAAAAAGACTGATAACACTTTATTATAATTAACCTCCTTCAACAATATTTTCCTGTATTTATAAGCTTTTTTTCTACATAATTTGTATATGTTGTCAAGTTCCTTATTATTTACTTTCAGTACAAACAGCAGAGGACATCGCCGACCCTTTGTGTGTTTACTTTCTTTTAGGTTCTTTCACGGGTATTTTATTTACAGCCTATTTTACACTACAGCCATTTAAGCGTCTTGATCTTGTTACTGACTGTCTGCTTTTATATGCATGCCACGTCTGTAATACCCTAAAATGCTAGCCTTTTGTTTGTCCCTCAGGTTGCCAACTACAGAAATAGACGCAAAACATTCAATACGTATTTATACATTTCCATTCGATACAGACATAGAAGTTTGGTTACATTCAATCCCCCAGAGTACTCGATATTCCTCCGGGATGGTTTGAACCCACGCCATTCTCGCTAATAATTTACTTCTACTCCCAAGATCTTACACATTCACATCAGACTACTAGATATTCCTCGGAGCGGTGTTAACCAGTGTTGGACGAAAATTAGTCATGTCTAATGATTAATGATTGATCATTCAGACCGTTAGTCATGATTGGTAGTAAGTGACAAATTTAGTCATTAGTCGCCATATGTGATTGATGACTAAATTAGTCATGACTAGTAATTAAATACGAGGCATGACTAATTTAGTCACAATATAGTTATTCGTGACTAAATTTCGATAAATCATTTTCAAATGGGTGCTCAAAAAATGAAAAATACACTTCATCCCTTTTAAAAAAATTTCTAACAGAAATTTATTTCATCAAAACGAAAATCCTACAACACCTTATTTAACAAAAATCAATATTCCAATTATAAGTAAAACTCCGTCGTTATGAAAAGCCAAAAAATAATGATAATGATAATAATAATAATAAAATAAAATAAAAAAAATCCTATAACAAGCTAAATATGTTTACATAACCGAT